TAGATGAATTGATACAGGTGTATAATACCAAGAGATACCACAAGGCCAGCTCCTTCTTGTAACAATATCTGAATGCTCATGTCAGCAACAAACCGKCGGCTTCTTGGAGATCGATATTTGGACATTCGCTTTCTTTTACATCTTAGTAACCGATACAAATATTCCCAGATATGATCTCTCATGGTCGCTGTAAGCCTTTCCAACAAGTCCAGGAAGCCGTGTATTACCCCAAGTATAGCAAATAATGCAAACGAAGACAATTCAGCTTGCATAACTCGATAAACCATAGCGCTTCCTCCATAGATAACGTCGACAAAAGCATGGGCACTTCCTGGATGGACGTCACTTAGCTTTTGCGCGGCAAGGCGGCAAACCAGTTTTGGGAAATATGTTATCAAAGGAGACAAAGCTGCAGTAATGACTTTAGTGTATGTAGTTTGTTTATAATACCAAGGCCAGAACGTGTGGCAGTAGAAAACTATGAGAGATACGCAAAAGAAAAATTGTGCGCAGAAGGTGAACGACAATGCCATGGTTTTTATCCATTTGGATGGAAAAGATCTGTAGTGTCGAGCAAGAATTGTACTATTAGTCACAATCATTACAGTAAATAAAAAATACAAAGGGAAGTTTACCCAAATACCACCCCAAAGACCAACCGCAAACATCGATATTTCGTATACAAAGTCGAGAAGTCCAACGACAATGGTTATGAAAGGAATGTACAGACTTTTCAACTGCTGCCAGGAAAATACAGTCGCAAGAACAAAAGAGTGAGACAGTTCGATCAGGAAACCTTCGACTGCATGTGTAGTTACTTTGATTGCTAATATCTTATGTGGCACTTGATAATTTTGAAAATAGCACACAAAAGCAGTATTCATCTGAATCCAGACAAAAATGATCGCCAGTAATCCAATACACAATCCACATACTGCCTGAATCACAAAAACATTTCCAATGCTCTTCAAAATGATTTCTTTGAGAGAAGCAACGTTTTTCCTCCAAGCCTGTGGGTCTTGCTCTTGGTCTACAGGTGGGTCATATTCTCGGAAGGTCACATCGTTTGGATCAAACCTCTTAAAATCGTGTAGTGTTTCTTCGATTTCAACTCGGATTAAACTGCTTTCTTTGTCTTCTAGTTCTTCTCTAGAGTGGGATTTTTTCAGTAGGGTCACCCCTGTGCAGTTTTCTACAATAAGTGCTAACAAACCGGCAATCACTTCGGAAAGCATCGCTTCACTTATGAATGTGATAAAGATTGAACTTCATTTATCAATGAGTTTTATGAAATTTTTCCGAAACAGTGAAAAGAATAATCTTTCCTCCCTCAGTCAGCACTCATCTCTGAATAGGGGCATCCTGCCAATTTTATCATTGCAGGAATAATTATTGTTCTCTGTGAAATCCAGTGTCAGATCAACAGGAGTCAAATCAAAATTCTATAAATAGGCGTTTCATAGTTTCGAAAGTAAACTTCTTGGTGACGGGGCCAAAAATAGGACTATTAAACAACAATAAGATCCTTTAAAACATTACATTAGAAAATATAGAATAAATTCGAAAGTTATTCTTAGACACAAATTAAATAATTAGACCACGAGGTGGACCTCAACAGGGACTACAAGTTGATACTTCATTTCTGATTCCCATTCTGCGAAAATGAAATAGCAGCGTCTAAGTGTTTATTAGTAGACGTCTGTGTTCATTGAAAAGACATCTATTAATAGCAGACTTGCAAATTTTCCTCAGAAGTCACACACAACCCCCAACCCAACCCGACCCCCCTCCCCCCTTCAGTTTCCCCCCTTACCTCCCTTACCTAGAGCCGCTAAGAAGGCTATAACAAAACTGACATGCACACAACTGAATATAAGGGCAACTCGCTATATAAGCGGAAGCAAAATATCAATAGTTGTCTAATGTCAACAAGCACCTGAAGCTATACAATCCTGTCAAGTGTTCAAAGGGTGTTTTATTTTCCTGGACTTCTATTTAGAAAGCACTTGAAATTTACAGGTCTGCAAAGGGCATGGTGCAATTCCAAGCATAACGAACTACAGGGTGTGTCTCGTAATCGTACTTATATCGTATTATATTCAATAAATAACCCGTGAAAAACAACATGGTTTCTATAGTAACAATGATCAACACGAGACAGTNATCCATGCCTTTGGGTCCTCCTCTTGGTCTACAGGTGGGTCATATTCTCGAAAGATCACATCGTTTTGATTGAACCTTCTAAAATCGTGTAGTGTTTCTTCGATTTCATTTTGAATCAAATTACTGTCTTCATCACCTTGAACGTGGCATTTTCTCAATATAGTCACCCCTGTACAGTTTTCTACAACTATTGCAATCAAACAGGTAATGATTTCGGAAATCATCGTTCGAAACCCTCAGAAGCATGTGTGTAAAGTGGAACTAAACTGTGTACTTCGGAAGTAGATGTCCAAAATAGTGTATTCCCCTGCTGTGTGAATTTGAGCGCTGATTGGCTGATTAAAAGATGTCATTTAAGGGACATTAACACTGAGCTGACACTATAACGCCTTGTTGGCGCTCAGTTGAAGAAAGGGAATGATTTTCGCATTTTCACACTAAAACTGTGGTCAAAAAAAGATACAAATTGTGCATGGTTTTTCGTTATGTCATCCTAGTAACAAACTCCTGACGTCATAAAAAGTTCACGATGAACCCACTAGCCCACTTGATTTTTGAACATTTTATAATATTATTAATGATGAGGCCTGGTCATGTATATAAATGGTAGGTCAGAAACCAGATTTGAAACTTAAATTTACTTTACAATGAGTAACATGACTAGGAAGTACGCGCCTAAATTAGTATATTACTATCACGGGTTGACACACATGGCATCGGTGCATTGTTTTTTGTTTTTTGTTTTTTTGTTTTACTTTTTTTCAACAAGGCAACTATATTCATGAATATTAATGTTAGCAAGTCTGAAACCATAAATGACTGCTACATAATGGTCCTTGAATAAAAATTTCATCAAAAAAGAACACAATGCATATTTGTTTTTAAGCTCGACACTCGCTGCGCTGCAAACGAACAATTCTCTACTGGATGTACTTGGTACAGTCACTCTTAAACCACGAAAATGTGTTTTTGAACATCATGGAGAACACTATCTAGAATCAGTATTTATTTTTCGACTTTTTCTGAAAGAGCTGCACATAAATAAGTAAGCAAAATAAGTAAGCAAAATAAGTAACAAAATAAGTGATATGTTACGCCGACCCTGTATATCTACTGAATACGATTTGGGTTGCAGGTTTATAATCTAAATAGCCTTTTAAATTAAAGGCATTCAAGGCTATTGATAAGTAAGAAAATAAAATAGGCAATAAGCAATGCCTAGATAAGCTATCAGACCTTGAGTAACTTTAGTGAAGTCCTGGCTTTACAAAGCGGAAGTAGACATGTTGGTCTCATTGTCTGATAAAACTAGATGATTTCAT